CGTCGCTGAAGTGTTTGTGGCTTCAAACCTTCTCAGCCGGCCTTCAAACTTCTTGCTTGTGATAAGTCTCCGTGGTAACTTCTCCGCGCATGAGTCATGTGCAGTATTGACCTGCGCTTTGACTTTCACGATGGGTATTTTACCTCTCTCTTTGTCTTGCATTGGTGAGTACTTGCGTTATACGGAAGGATCGTTCCACGACGCAAACGTCGACGTCTCCGTTTTTGTTTTTGTTCCCTCCGCACTCCTTCCTTGCGGCGGTTTTCACACCGACTTCGAACGTGGGGTGCAATTTACTCTCTTCGTACCTTCCTCGTCGGCCTTCTCCATCGTTATGTACAAATGTATACCTCGATTTTTCGGCTTTTCGATTCCGATAGAGACAAGACTACGGACTGACATTTCCCTTTCGCCCCCGACGGGACCGCGCGCTCGTCGAGTGCCGAAATTCTTCTCCACTTCCTTGCCTCTCCCGACACCGTCCCTTCTTCCCCGCCCCAACAAATCTTCTCCCCTTCTTCTTCTTCTTTCCTTCCTCCCGGACACTCACCACCATCCGTTTCGTATTCGTGATGTCATCGGTTGATTTTCGGGCGTTTCGGGCGCGAAACGCCTGGATGTTGGCCCCCAGCCCCATTGGGGGGCGGGGGGCCACTCCTTAACCCTAGTTAATAGATATTTAAAGGTTGAATACCAGCTTGCCTGAGGGGCTTGCGTGACGAATGTTTCATACAGTAGTGCCGTTCCTGGGCCGCCGAGTTTGTGCGATTACGCGGTTGGTCATGTATATCGTGCAGATGATATGCCATCGGTATGTGCCGGGGCGAAACACATCAATCGTGTTTTGGTGGCCTAGTTTGGGGGGGCTTATCTCAACAGCACTACCCACATTTACCACAGAGTCGGCATTCGTGCGATGTACGAACGAAATATTGTAATGCCAATTTTTCCGCTATTCGCGTGGACGAAACGCACCAACTCGGTTTCGTCTTGTTCTGTTGCTTGGTGTGCGCTTGCACACTCGCAGATGGCGATTGAATCGTGTCACGCCTGGGCAGGGCTGCAGGACGCGGGCGGACCGGTGCGTGGGGATCGCGGCCGGCAACGCCTGGCAGCCAGGTGTTTCCTTTCAGAAGCCATGACGGCGGATATGTCCGCCGGGTGCCCCACGCCGCGACCACGCCGCGACCGTCTTCATGGGAGCCAGGGCTTACGCCCGCTCGGGGAGCAGCAAGGCGCCCGTGCCGTGCACGGTCTTCTCCGCGGACCGCAGACCGCGGCCCAGGGGCGGCGGTGGAATAAAAAAGATGTTATTGAAGGGGTCGCCGAGAGCTGAGTGAATTGAAACACACCGCCGAATGAGGGCGGCCCGACGGCATTCCAATATGGGCTGCAGCGAGATTTAAGGCACAAGCGAACTCAGACCTGATGGACGACCTCATCGGGTCCTCAATCGCGGAGCGGGGCAGCTGGTCGATGCGGCGGCGGTGTGCAGGAAGCCACCCGTATCACCGCCGGTTGCCGATTATTCCTGCCGTCGTCACGCCGGAGTGGTCGGGGTTCTCCTCGTACATCGCATCAGGCGATCCAAGAATCGGGATGAGGTTAACGACCCATGATCGGGATACAGAGCAGACGGCGGAGCAGTTGCTCTGGTGGTGGCGTCGTTGCCATGTTGTGCAACGTTGCCCGACGACGCGCCGTTAACATCCTGTCTTAATTAAAGGTTGTGCAGTGCAAGTTCTGAAGTATGACCAAGCCCGCGGAGCTTCGAGGAAAATAGTTACGAAATAGGGGTGAATCCCAGGAACTAACGTGCGCTGCACTATTTAGGTAAGGATTTGGGAATTTGCTGTATATGGCTGTTGGGGGCAACACATTGGAACGAGTATCCCGAAGAGCGGGAAGATGAAGTCAGAGGAATGTGTAGGAGTCGCCCACAGTAGAGGACTCGCAAGGGGTGTTCCGTTCGGTACGACATAGCGAGTCGGGAGGTAATCGGGGGAAAGCACTGTGTGCGGTAGGTAGGCAGTAACAGGAGCTAATCCCACTGCACGAGTAGTGTCATGATGACCTCGATGTTGGCGAAGAAAATGGTAGGGTACCATTTTAGGGACTTGGTCATCTGAGACTACTGTGTGCAGTAAGATTGGTTCCCTCCACCGCAGGAGAGAGCACCCTCAGTTGGTGTTTGGAGGGAAGAGAGAGACAGTCTTTATTGGGAGAGAGGCAGAGGCACGATAGAAAGGCCGCAGAAACGTGTCTGCGGGAAACGTGCTCTCTGCCAGTTTGGTATCTCTCTCTTCCCTCGGGCGGTAGAAAATATTAATAAATGCAATTCGAAAGAAAACAATAAACAAGTTTCACGCGATGAAAGTGGTGTGTTGTCTTGCGAATGTGCCATGAAGTGAGTGTCCCTCTAGATGATGCACTGTTTTAGCGTCGGAATGGGCATTGTGACCTGTTGGTGGTGGTTCTCCTGTGTCTGTATGTTGGCGCGGACGAAGTTGGTCGTACAGCAGTCCTGGGAAAGAACGTTCTTCTTCCTGAAGATGCCTTCCCGGGGTTGTTCCGGAAGCTCTCTTGGATCGTGTGTTGGTGGTGAAATGTTAGGTGTGATGAAATTATGTAGGCTGGATGCAAACCGAGCACATGTTGCGTTCTCTGCATCATTTTCATATGAACAATGGCGGCAGGTGGAAGAATCGTAGCACTGGTTGTAATTGCGTAGATCTGGCGGATTCGGAACCCTCAATAGGCTTGAGCGGCGTGGTTTCGAAGGTGGCCGGACGTCTCTAGTTCCCGTGACTTCGATCTGTGGATTGGGAGAATGTTGTTTTCTCTTGAATGGTCTGCTTCGACAGATGTACGAAGTATGTACAATAGTACGATCTGAACATCGACCACGGGTCATGCTGATAAACCTGGGTTTTCAAAGAGTATCTCCAGTTCAGAATGGGACGGAAAATCCATATTTAGAAGGGATCCTGGCTTGTTTTCTGAGAAATTAGACATCAAGATTTTTCCATCTACCGTCGTCCCTATCGCAACAAGTTTTAGCAAAGTGCCCCAGTCAGAGGGTGGGTTGCATACGAAAGCGGGTACATGGACGGCGCGGCTACACTCATGCATACACACCATACATGGTTTAGAGAGTTTCGAAACTTCCGGGCAACATACGGCCATCAAGGGACTCTTGTGATCCCCGACTCTATTATTTGCATTTACGTGAAAGAGCGTTTGTTTGCTGTTGTTCGATATGTGGTCGTTGATCCTGGCGAACATCATGGATGTCGGTGCCACAACAGTAGTTTGTAGGTCGTTCGTACCGGTGGTCAATGATCCGGCTCGACCAGTTGTGTATTCGTTTTTTCGCGGTACCGGTAGTGTGATATTGGTTCTTAGGGCTTCACCTTTTTCCGCTTGCGGTTTTCTCCTTAGTTCAGATCGTTCCGTTTTGTCGCGAAACGTGGGACGTGTTTCATCTGTTTTTTGTGATAATTTTTATTGTTCAGAGCAAACCTGCCAACAAGCCTTGCACAGTGCTCTGCACCAGAAAAGGCTCGGAGGATAAGCTGCGAGGAACAAACCAGAACCCTTCGGATTCAAGTCGGTACACACAACGTTGTGTTCAAAAACACTTCATCTTTTCCCTGGTGTGCATTGGCCATGAAAGGGGTTTGAGAGCAGGAGCGCAAGCATGAGCATGCCCACCTTCCGCGACTTAAACGAAGGCCATGCCACATTTTTTCTACAGTATATCCACGGGGAGGGCAGATAGCGAGATATGCCCAAGATTATTGCTTCCGGAAGACAGCGTGTATTTTCCCATGCTAGTCATTGGACGCTGGCGAGGCCGAATCGAAAAATGCGCCCGTTGGAACGACAGGCCCACGAAAACAAATAGAATATGATCCCAGCAGACGTGACGTTTCTTTTGCAGGCTGCGCCAGATTCTCGAGCCCGAAATTTCTGAGCGTAAGGGTCACCTGGAAACAAAACTGCTGTGTGCCAAGGGCAAAAAATACACAACAACAAAATAGAGCCTTTTCGGTGCCAGGCGGCAGGGCGTTATTCTGGCTAAATGGTATTATTCCCGGAGAGCTTCGAAAGGAGTGTATGCACTGTAAGTTTATCTTGTCCTGACAAGAAAAGCTGATCGTTTGCTTGCAACGTTTGATGGCGTGGAATGGATCATGCTAAACATCCAAACCTGCGCTCTCCTGCTCCGTGTGTTCTGAAATATTCCGTTAGCTCCCCGTGGCAGAAATAATGGGTTTTGGCCAACCTCGATCCCCTATCGAGGCTGTGGCAGGCAACACAACCACACTCAAAAACTGCCAGACAGGACAAATCTAGCTCCGGGAAACAACCTGGCTGGCCCAAGCCGACAACCAGTTCATCGTGATAGCCGCGAGCCATGCAACATGTGCCGGGCGTCGTAGGCGTGTTGGCGCCCCTGAATGTTGAGTGGGTTGGCGTTCAGGTTGTGCAACGCCCACCTTCCAGGAGTAGAACATGTCGCTACTCGCACAGAAATGTTGATCGGGTGGAAAGTCAAGTCTGCGGCGCGGGACAGGTTTCAATATTTCAGAACATATCCCAATAAGGTAAACCATGGGATTGCCCTTCACGCTGATCCCGACATGCCCTACAAGGCTTTTCACGTGCCACCTCTTCCCATTGAACCAGCCTCCTTATCACAGATACGCTTATCGTGAACATCGGGCAAATCGAAAAACAGAACGGAACACAATTTTCCCGATCGACCCCGCGGAAGTTTGCTTCTGAAAACACTCCACTCTGTCGTGATATTTTTTGAACCTCACTCCTGGAGCACAATCTCCCTTCTCCGACTCTCTCCAAGTATATCCTAGTATCGCAAACATGGTTAGGAAATAGATCAACGGTGCCACCGTTTGGGTTTGGTCGACGCGGGTACAAGCGGAGGATCAAGGGGTGGCGCTCACAGTCCACTCTGGTAGCCGCTTTCCCGAACGTCATCGCCATACGGGACACGTAGCATCTGCAAGCGTTCAGAATTGTGTCAGACAAGTCGGGTAAAGTGTTGGTGAGGCTTTCGGGGCGGGGCCATCGTGCAAAGTTTGCCAAAAAAGTGCTGGAAGAAGTGGTCACATCTGCACTTCGGTTTCTTTCCTGCTTTTGTCACGCCTGTTCACGATTCGGCGCATCTTCCACGCTCAGTCAATCTCGACTTACACATGAGCGGATAGGACAATGCCTAAATGAAAGTTGGTGCTGTGGTAGGAACCCTCTTTACAAGCGCCTGATCATTTTGCCGGGGGTATCCTTTCTACACGCCATATATCACCTAAACCTGTAGCATGTCTATATTTGGTGCGCTCTCTACTGTTTGACACAATCTGGTAGAAATGAGGCATGTTTTGCCTTCGGAACGCGTCGCCCGCTTTCTAGGCGAAACTCCCAAGAATGTTAGCCAATGAATCAAGCCTGGAGTATACATGATCGTACGGTCGTCTCTCTATGATCGTACGGTCGTCTCTCTATGATCGTATGGTCGTCTCTCTGTGAGCAGTATACCTGCTCGTAGACATCCTCCATGAGGACCAGATCTGGAGGTGGCCAATACGATCGCGGCGTCCATCGTTCGCAGCCTGGCTTGTCTCCGTCTTCCTTCATCTGTAGGTTCGGGTGCAGCGGGTGTGGCTGAACTGTCGGTTACAGTTGAATGCGGGACGGTTGCAGTCTCCTCTCCGCATGACCTATGATGTACTGTGTGCTTTATGCCACTGTTGTCGTATGAGGACCACGAGCTTTCTTCACTCTTCGCTCCTGGTGAAGAGCTGGTATAGGCACTTGGTACCAGGTGTAGGGTAGGTCTGAAAACTGCGCATGATGCAACATCATTCCTACCCGTACGCTATCAGCGTCAGCGTCCGCTGTCACACACACACACACACACACACACACACACACACCTGAGGACGTTGCTGAGCCGGAAAACAATACGTTTATTACGACATGCCTCCAGATTATGCACAACTCATTGTACAATAAAAGTATATCTAGCACAACTCCTTATACCATAAACGTACGACCAGCATTTTCATCACGTACAAAACTAGCGTCGGCTGGTACTCGCATCGGCTGGTACCCCAGTGATGCCGTCGCCAAAACATGTTCATTGTTGACTTTGTTAGCTCTTGGTGCAAACTGTTCCGAGAGCAAAAGCACCTGGTTGTTTCCTATCTCGTGGGTCTTTGGCTGCTGCTGCTGCTGCTGCTGCTGCTTCGTTGCCGTCGAGCTGCAAGATCCGACAGCAGACGTGGACCTCATAGAGCCCGCGGTCAAAGCCCCGTGAGCCCTCATTCGATCCGCATCGTCCCGGCTGATTGGACCGTCCCGTACCGTTTCGTGACTGACACCCTTTTGCCCACCCGGGGTGTCGCATATGGGTGCTACCATTTCGTCCCCTACATGAGGCGGTGCACCTACGCGTTCTTGTTCAGCCTTGGGGCAATGGTACGGAGGAGTGTTGGGCTCTCCGCCTTGGCAGGGCTGCGTCCCTTTCGACGCGATACCGCTGGGAAACTTGCAATCATTGTTTGGTTCTTGCGGAGAACGTGGACTGTCCCTGGTGTCCAGGTCGTTGTTCCCCGTGGTCGTGGGGGAATCGTGCTGAGACAGCGGCGCCCTGTGTTCAGATCGCATCTTACCGGGAGATGAGAGAGTTCGCGGCAGGTTTGCCCGCTGGTGACTCCTAGTCCCGAGCACCGCCGGTTCGACCGAAGGTAGCAACCTATCTCGGCATGCTTGGCGCGCCTGGACAGGTTCAAGACCCTGCCATCGTCAACGTTCAGGTTTTGGGGAGGGAAACCATCTCGGCGAGGTCATGTGTGGACCGGAGTTGATCATGGCGGGTACCAGGAAGGCAATGGATTTCGACGCCGAATGTGCAATGACCCTCGACCTACTCCACATACGAAGCCACGACCACCCAATCGTCTGGCGACATATTCACTTGGGCTATCATCATCGTGTCGCGACAAAAAGCAGCCATACAGTGGCGGTCTGTGTGCAACATGCGCCCACACACACCTGCTCGACGTAGAAAGATTCTATCGTTTCGATAATTTTCCCGATCGCCCGGGCGTCAGGTGTGAAGTGCCACGATGCCCTCTCGTGCACCGCCCGCCACGTTGCGATGTCACCACATCCCCAGTCGTCGGAATCCCCCTTCATAGCATCCCCGTCACATTGGTCCTTGATGCCGTTTGAGCGCTCTGCCTGTCCTACCCTAGACGTTGGGCCGGCTGCGGGCAGACCCTTATTACCCTGCCGTGCCCATCGTGTCAGACGGTGTGTGTTGGGCGGCGAAAATCGAGGGGAGCGGGATCGCCTCTCATGAACGAAAATACAGCACAGGGGCGTCTGATGTTTGCGATGCTTGGCGTCGGGCCTGTCGTTAGGAGTCTCGGTTTCAGTCAACGTTTCAAAAGAACTTGTGGCTGATACTTCATAACCTTAAGTCGGTCCGTTCTCGTGTCATCGCTGACACAACTTGGGCAGCGCATCCTACTCTTGCGGGCAGCTGCTCCCGGCACTAACACCAAATCAAATGTTCAATACGGTGGCGTGACATCCCTAGCTGTACTATTGTGCTTCCGACTACCGATCCAGAAGCGTTCACAAATCTACGTCTGCCATCCACTCACCATCGTTTCCATGACGTCAAGCCGAGCGATGTCCACCCTGGCCTGAATTAAGTTCTCCGTTCCCAAGACTCGCTTTAGGCTCCCCTCGCTGATGCCCGCCAGGTTGCTCATGACCAAAGCTGATGCCGTACCATTTTCTCCCTACGTATCCGTTTGCGTTTTATCATCTCATGTACTCCGGACGTAAGTGTGGACTAACCGGCCGGGGTGACACAGGTGGAAGATTACGCGCTGGTTAACTTTTATTGCGATTTACTGACGCGTTGATTGTCTTCCTTTTTGTGGTGGGAAGGACTGGGCCGTTTCTTCGCCTCTATGAACGTCGAGTCCCAGCCTTGTTGGGTCAAAGCGGGAATAGCGATTTGCTTTCCACGTTTGTGTCGGGATATTGTGAGAGAAACGGTAAGCTTGTGCTTGGTAATTCGTGTGAAAACGAGTTTTGACGCGACAATCGACGACAACCAATGGACAAGCAATGTTTTCACGACATGCGAAATGTTTCAGTGGAACGAAAACGGCAATATGGCCGAACTTCTAAGAATTCTCCCAGAACAACTCTAGTCAAACCTCCCGTCGTTTTCGTGGGCACAGCGGCAAACCGAAAAACGAAAGGGTCGGTCTTGAGGCCCTTTGACACTAGCCATAGCGCCCAATCTCTGCACGAAACAGCCACCAACACGAGACGTTACCCCATAAACGGTCTTGATATAGTTCAGTGTACAGGCGCAACACCGATAAACGGGACCCCATCCTATTCAGAGGCAATTCTACTATCATGGAACGCTATACTCACGAGCGTCGAGCCGACTTGTCTAGCGTGCTGGGGCCCAACGGCCACTATGACCAACCGCACCGCACGGACTAGCAGCGACACGTCTTCAAACACACCGACACCTAGCGCCTGGTAGAGGAATAGCGCACGATTGGACAGCCGGTTGAAGCGGGTCGTGTGTTGCAATGAAACCGTTCCTTTGGAACCGGCTCCGAAGCCTCTCGCGGATAAAAAATGGTGAAGCCGAGTGAAACCGGTCCCAGGTTGACACAAAAAGGTCCATCGAGTTGCGCCGGAGACCGTACGTAGAAACATGTTTCCCACAGCTGTGCGGCATTCCTCCCCATTTTAGAGTCGTATCTACGTGATTTTCAATGGGGGCAAGGGTGGTTCTCTATCCCAGAAAATTCCGCTCCATCTGGTATAACAATCTTTTGAGCAGTAGCTTGCGACAACTTTCCATGGCGTGAATACATTTAAAAAAATACATAATTCTTGACTCATCATCGGGTATGGTCTTGCGCAAATCACAGAATGAAAATCACGCTGCTAGTCCTTGCCTGTTGTTGCGCCATCTCATTCGACTAGCGAACACAGACCCGTCAAACAACGCAAGCACCACGAGGAATGAGAACACTCATAATAAAACAAGCATAGCAGTAGTTCAGCAGCACCACAAATCCAATCACCCACCTCAAACTTGCGGAGTTTTTTCTGGCCCCTGCCAGACACGGCCAAACGGAAAGGCTTCCAGCCGTAGTCAAGAAATGTCTGGACTATGGCCGATCTTCACGAGGGTGTACGCGTCCGAGGGTGCAATGGAAGTGTTCGGGAATAGAGCAGCGGGGGGGTTGATGCGGAATGCTTGTACACACAGTTGTTTCCAAGGAGAAGGGCACTACTGGCCAAAGACACGTTTTCATGTGAAGGGAAGTCTGCCGTTCCTTCGCTTTCATACGCAGATTTTCGGGTTCACAAACCACTGTTGTTTTCAAATTGCCTCCGTCCGTCGGTCGGGCCCCATGGCAGTAGCGATTGCAGAATCCTCCAGAACTTCTACTTCGGCTGTCATGGGTTCTGATATTGTGTTAGTGCTGTACCGGGTGCTCTTCTATTGTAGCGATTGAAGTTTGGCCTTACTCACCCTAGTTGACCACCCGCCCCGACGATTCCGATCAGCGGGCCGCCGACAGCCATCCTTTTGGACTTCTTGTCGATACCGGCCATTTGCTTGAACATGGGGAGGAAGGAACCCCGCCACAAACAGGCACTGCGAACAAATCAACCTCTGAAAACACGTTGTACGATGATGACGGGCAAAGCGGGCGTCGAGCGTACGTCGGATCGTTCGGTCATGATCCGCCATATGTGTCCATTTTCGTAAACATGATGGATTACGCATAGTGCCGCGACCGTCGCACCGGACGGGAACAACAGTCTCGGGATGTTTAAAGAAAGAAATTAAACTTCGTTGTCCATTGTGCGGCATAGAGACAAATACCCGAGCTTTGGCCGAGGCACGGAACAAACACCGCGAGAGCAGCGAACGGCGTAAATCAGCTTTCCCTCGGCTGTCCAAGGTGACCTTTGAACGGACGATATTTTGAACTCGTGTTTTTGAGTCAGTGGTGTAGGTGTGTCTTTGCGGCTGCAGGACGGAGTTCGTGTCACTCGAGGAGATCTTGTTGCAAGAATCACCACATAAATAGTTATACATCTGAGGAAGCCCGCCCACCTGCACTTCCTTCCGTCGGAGGTAGCCCTCCTCAACCGCAGGGGTTTGGCCACAGCAGGAAAACGCCAGGTCGATATTTCTCAAAACGAAGTTTGGATCGGTAAGGTCCTGGGTGACAACAACGGCGCGATTGGTGGTTAGGGCAGGTGCGGTTTTAGCCCAAAAATCGACCCTTTAAGGGGGCGGTGCTTCACGATCAAAGACAAATGATGTCGACCCTTTCATCTATACTTTATTGATATCTGCAGCAACGGACCCCTGGCTATCGAGGAAACAGAACCCGGTGAATGACCTTCGCTACAGATGTTTCCACACACAGCGGAATTGGATAGACACGCTTCATCGAAACTGTCATCACTATTTAGACTAGTGAGTAAAAAATGCGATGTGAAACATGTTGCTCGGCAGAAAGGAAGGGGTCACTCCCTGGTTTGAACATCGACAATGACTTTCAAAGGAATCTTCGACTAAATTTCGTTCACCCTCGATCAGTTCGACAGAATTCGCTCAAGTGGATGATGGCCAATCGATGTACTGTACCGCGAAAATGTGGACTACAGCGCACGGTATGTTGCCCAACATGGATAGGAATACTGTATCGATGGGAAACTCAACATAGCCTGCCTGAATATGAGCATGCCCCCCGATGCTTTGCTGCGGTGGATAACCTCCCACATCAATGTAGTCTCTACGCAACGCCGGCGTGGGGGCACCATGACACACCTGAACGAGCTCGTCTTCCACGTTCAAGCTATCCATGCATCTCCACGTGCGTGTGAACCCATCCATGGTACTCGCCATTCCTCCAATCCGGTATTTCGACATGGCCTATGAGCACCTGGTATGGTTTTGTAGTGCAACTTGTGGAATTTCAACCCCTCAAACGTCGATGCGCTGTGTGCGGTGTCGATATCCACGATATGCGGTCAAACTTGTACATCCAAACAATCCCGAATCGACACTTGAACCAAATTCTCCGCACTTGGAACCACATCCTTCAACAAGGGTGGTGGAGTGGTGGAGGGAGTTGGACCGGTTCAGCTGAGTGAAGGCGGCTGCAGATACGGCTATACGGCTCGCATGGCTCTCTGTATTCACTGGCATAGCAGCGAATCTTCTTCATGGTAAATATGTTGTCGAGAATTCAACAGTGCACAACTTTGTCACTCGTTGGTGTTCAATAATCTACCCCAGTGCGAATGACGTCGACATAACATCATATGCGTTGAGGTGCTTGCCGAAAGCGTCTTTCCAGCATGAAAGTGGCTAGACAAACACGCGAGACACCGACGGTGTTGGGTCATTTTTGGCGGACCCACAGGAGCCTAGCTCAATGAAGGTCTCAGGTGTGCCACTAATAGTAAAACCCAACATTTTCTGAGTCTTTCGCATGGATAACAGCCTTGGCACGACTGTTGCGCACTTTGACACAAACAGGTCGACATGGATGAATGCTTGCGCGGTGTGTTGCCACACCGGGACTTTCATTGGTGTGTCGCGCTTGCATCGGACTCTATGTACTGCTGTAGCTCAGCTCTAGAGGCCTGAGAGGTTGGGGGAGTTGGGGAGTGCGCCATGTGTGGCCCTCCATTGCCCACCGGCAAGGAAAGGGCGCGCTTCCCACTTATATTGCGATAATGTCTACGAGGAGGATGACCAGCGAACCGCCGGGGTATTTAGCACACAAGTCCGAGCCCATTGCAGCCGGCACAAATAAGCTATGCACTTGCCTGGCAAGCTTGCAGAACGTGTTCACTTTAGACTCGTATCTCCCAATCTCAATGAAGCACACGTACGGCCAGAGGATAAGCAGCCCAGGGAAAACAAACACGATTCTCTGCCCAAATCGAGAAATCGCACGTATTCATCCCTCCCCCAAACTCTAGGTAAGCGACCCTTCATCTACAAAGGTCATAACATGGGTTCCCAGTCACTCGAATTGTATTCTGTTTCCGTGGCTGAGCTCCACCTGTTGGTTACAACTGCAGGAGGCGAAATGAACGAGGTGACACGCTCGGGCAGACTGCAGCAGCTTTCTGGAGATATGGCGGCCGATTCCTCCCTCCTGAAAGTATGCCTTTCAGTGACGAAATTCCGTCACACCCGCCGTCTTTGCGCCACATTTCTATCGCATAAAAAACGTTCAGCTCTCGCTCTTAAGTGAAAATATTCGCACAGCTGCTTCGAAACCCGTGATGACCTGGCGCAGAAAGAAGATCACGAAAGCTTCCCAAAAGCAGAAACCCCCACGCCATATCGACTTGCTTTCGTTTTTTGTTGTCTTCACTTCAAATCACCGCTCACAGCACTAGTGCCGTTTACTCCAACCCGTGGTCACACAGAAGAGCCCCTCTCTACCCTCCCCTCCTGCGGTGCGCTGCCTTCGATTTTAATGCGAGAAGAGTTCAGCACTCTCTTCCCTCTGTGTACACACGAACTAGCGCTATCCACTAGGCCGGGAGCGGAAGCGACGGAAAAGCTCCCTTACGCCGGGATTCGAACCCCTGACCTGGCCTCTAGAAAGTTTCAAGGGTACCAACTAGACCACCGGGGCGACCGGCTTGTTTCTTGGTCGGGGGAAGAGGCAATGAACAAATACAAATACGCGAATACCCTTGACACTCAAAGCTCAAACAGACAAATTACTTCCGCTCTCTTCCGCTCTGAGGAGGTGGCGCAGTTGATACTGCAGTCCCTTTCTCCGCACTGCGCTTAGCGCCTTTACTTGGCCCGAGCTTGAGAAGCTTCACGGCGCCCCAGATGCCGAAGGCCGCCAGTACATGACGAAAGAACCGCTTCTTTGTGGCGTACATGTTGCGCAGCGTTAGTGAGATCAAGGCCTTGGTCATGCCCCCGAGACAAAGGGTCAGTGAATCTGGAGAGCGAAACAAAGACAAAACAGGAAAATGATGTAAGGACGCAGCCTAAGCTTGGGTTCTGGCCTCCACCGATAGGTTCGCCCCGCTGTTGGGGAAAGAAGGCAGATCAACTTGCCAGCAGCAAAAATAGCGCAAAAACGACGGCCTCTACAGCCGGGGAAACCCACCCCTCTCGACTAGACTCTTGACAGACAGAAGATGGCACACTCACTGTGGGTGTAGTGAATGAAATTGAGCAGGAAAATCGCCGAGCTCGCCAGAACGGCCATGATGACCCATGCGGGTCCTCTTTCCTTTTCCTCGTCTGGAATTCCGTTGCACGGCAAACATTTTCGTTGCTTTCTTTAGACCCAGTGAGCGCGATAGCCAGGATTGGCATAGTCGTTCATCAGCAGACATGGCGCAGTCGAAAGGCCATAACGGCGAGGAGGACGCAAACTTTCAACAAGGCGAAGCGCAAGATTGGTCGAAGGAGCTCATGAGGCCATAGAGGGGTAACCAATCGTAACACGACACGCCGACGCTGCAGTGATTCCGCTCCCCAAAAACTAAAAGAAAGTCGCCGCCGCTTTGAAGGAGTTCGTGAAATTCAACGGCAACGCCCTGTCAACCATGTTCGGGATGATGCAAGACTCTACCTGTTCCGGCCCCGAACTCGCAGAGGTGAACGAAGATCAGCAGCCGAAATGAAACTCCCAATACCGTGAGGAAAGCCCTAACCTGTGGTACATCGAGGGCAACCCTGCAACGACAACGCCATTGGCAAAGTCGTCTTGACATCTACCTGAGACGAAAGGAACCCCGGAACGAAACTCGAAAAACTGCGCACCGCGTGCGTCACACATACACACATTCGGAACTAGATCGGGTCTCCAAATACACTTACAGAACGTAAGCCAGCCCCTACAGGCAAGCGCTGCGAGGAAGGAGAAGAGGCCATAAACGAAGCTGCGCCGAGTTTTTGGAGAAATAACACACGGCGAGACGGGGGGCATTCGCATAAAAACGGGTCGATCAGATATCGTTCAAGGGGGGGGTCAGACATCGAGTTGGTAGACAGTGTCGCAGACCGCACAGACTGCTCAATGCCTGCGGAGGGACATTAATAAACCCGCCCGTTTACAGAGCATCGTGCAGTGGGTCAGGTACGCTCAGATGCAGAATCTCGCAGCTGTACAACCTTTCACATTCTTCTTGTGGGTTGCGTTGCCTTGGGCATCGCCGTGTCCCGCCGTGTTACCCCAACAATTTGGGTCCAACGACAGGCACACACAACCGCAGGAGCCACGCGCCAGATCGGTTACTTTAGAACGACCTAGAAGAAATATCGTGCAATGCAGAACTAAAGTTTCGGTTCGCCAAGCGCCATTTGTAACGAAGCAAGGTCCGGGTGTGGAGGTGGAAAATCGAATTCGAAAGAACAACAAGTCGCTTTTCAACAAAAGATGAACACAAACATCGAACGATATTGAGGACCTCCCTTGATTATTTGCTAACGGCCTACCTGCCCCGAATGACGAAGAACTCCCACTGCATCTGCTCTGACAGATAGCTGATAGCCGATATCGCCATAGCCTCGGGACGGCTCGCTATCGACGTGTACGTGAGCTGGAGGAGCCGGTACA